ATTCAAAGAGAAAAGAGAAGAGGATAGATGAAAGAAGAAGAAAGAGACAAAATAGAGGAATGGGGAAGAGTAAAAAATTTGATTAGGTGTCTAGACTAACAAAGTAGCTAGACAAGCAAGTGATTGACTCGGCGTGGTAGCAAGACGGGAATACTAGACGACATAACGATCACCGACCAGCCTGGCATGATGGCTAGCCTATCATGGCAGTAAAACGGGCACTGTAACTAAGACCGGTACATCGGCAATACTGCTACACGACGAGACTACCATGGCAGTGCTTGACTTAGCCTCCCTTAGTCAAACGGAGGGAAAGAGAGAAGGAGAAAAAAAAGAGAAAGAGAGGCATGCACAGTACTACTGATGTTGTGCATTTGAGAAGAAAAAGGGAAGAGAGAGAGAGGAATATTCCCTGGTAAAATATCACATAGGTCTTTCTTTCAGCTCTAAGATTAATTTCCATCACCGATTATGAAATTTAAAGCTAAAAAATATTACAGATTTAAAGCTCAAAGAATGGTCACGTGACTGGCTTGGCATTGGGAGGGAACAATCTTCTCCAAATGTCCATCCTAAGATATTGTTAGCTAAGGCTATGCCACAGGTCTTACGTGCCCTAATTGGAAAGGCACCTTCTGTCTAACAGTCGGCTAGTATTTTGGGCAAGCCTCCATCATCAATGGTGATTGTTGTGCCTTCTCACGAGGCAGTTGATCTGACAGTCATAATTTCTCATCAGCCTATGATTGCTTCTCCTCTTTATGTGGTGCCTTTAACAATATGATAAAGGTTGGGAATGGAGAGAATATCAAATTTTGGATTAGTAAGTGGTTTTAGTACCCAACTTCCAAAGGTTTACCGTTGGGCTTCTGCTAAACATGCTATTATCTCAGACAAGGTAGATGGTCAAGGCTTCAATTGTGAGTGAAAGGTTAGACTGATGATCAAAAGAGGTGATGAAGTCACATAACCACAATACACAGCCTTGCTTCAAAATCTTAATGCTTATAGCTTCTTTCCTCGTAGATATGATTCATTGGTATGGAAACTTAACCCTAATGGTCTTTTTTCGGTAAGTTCTTTTGTATTGTGAGGTAAGCAATGACGAGTTTTTATTCAAGTAATAGAAACACAAAAGTTTGGACTATTAAGATACCCAAAGGGTAAGAGCATTTTTATGGCTTTTGGAGCAAGCAAGGGTGTGCTTACAAGAGGCAGTTAGGAAAAAGGGGAAAAATTCTGGTTAATATGTGTTTCTTTTGTCTTCATGCCAAGGAGGACTGCCACCATTTATTCTTGCAGTGCCTTTTTGCAAATTTCCTTTGGAGTTCTATCTCAAGTTTGTCCAAGTGGCAGTGGATTATGCCAAGCAATATTCAAGGTTTTTTTTGTTCAAGTGCTCAATCTACCTTTTCTAAAATCAGGCATTCAATTGTGGCGCATTCTTTGTGCTGATGTACTTTGGTTCTTATAGAACGAGGGAAATCAGAAGATCTTTGACAGTATAAAATGTGATGAGAGAGTTTTGAACCTCTCGGTTCACTGGGCCCAGTCATTTCTTTGCTACAAGGACTACCCCAAGGCAATACGATGTTTTTTCTTCAATGTTTTTTTCTTCTTTTAGGGAGCTGCCTATTTGTGCTATCAACAAGGTTGAGTTAATAGCAGTCAAAGAGGAGGTTTCTCAGCTTTCAGAGGAACATGGTCATATTTACATTGAAGGGGATTTCGCTAATGTTACTCGATGGTGTTCACTAACCTCTTCAATCCCGTAGGAATGGACCTCAATTATGGATGGGATTTGCCAATTTTTAGGCATTAAGCTGGTCCAACCCATCAACACAGAGAGAAATGTTGAAGCTAGCACTTTGGCTAAATTAGGATATTCGTAGTTTTCTCTCCTCTTTTCTTTCGTTATCTCTTTTTCTTTTGTCTTTCTTCTCTCTTCTTAGTGTCTTGTCTACCTTTCTTATCTCTTATGTTTCTTTTTTTCTTTCTTCTTTTTCTTTGCACTTGTAATCTCTCATTTTTTCAATAAAAGCTTATCGTTAACGTTCAAAAAAAAAAAAAAGTACAGATTTTTTGAATATGTGAATACTTATTTTCACTTGAATCGGATGGTCTAAATAATGTTATAATTTACATTATTTTTAGAGCTTCAAATTGTAATTTTTTCTTTTTACAATCATGATAGTCGAGGCTGAGATGATCTATTTAAAAGTTGGGAATGATTTCTATACTTCCTCTACAACATAGAATATTTATGCCTCCCCAATTATCTAGCCGTCCAATTTTGATCAAGTGAGCCACTCACGATTTGATCTTAGATCCGACATCTCAGTATTTTATTTTTTATTTTTTTATACAAATTGTATGACTATGAAATTTGATACATGCCATCTTCTCATTGGGGGCGCACCTACAAAAAATATTAAAAATAAATTTTCGATAAAATATAACCAAAATACCTCTTAAATCTTTCAAAGGTATTTTCATCATTTCATTTTATTGGGGATATTTTTTTATTTTTTATAAGAGCAAATAATAGAGGATTAGATGCCCAAAATTTGATATCAAAATAATTTATATTAACAAAATTAAAAATAAAATATTTAGAGACATGTTATTATGATTGAAACAATCTTAACCCTCCATTTAAAATGGATGGTTGGATAAGAGGAAGTATGTAAGTTTTATGTTGTAGGGGAAGCGTACCCTTGAAAGTTTTGTGATGCCAAAACTGACTTGAAAATTTTATTGATGTCAGAGTCAGAAAAGAGAGAAATGTTACAGAAGTTTGGCACTACCATTTCCTGTGACATGGCATTATGTGTAAGAGAAGTCAGTCTTCCATGCATAATGGATGTATACTTCTTTTTTTGTTTTGCAAGTGTATTTTGAGCACATGAACAATAAGGGAGCTCCATTTGTCTGAAACTTGTCTATTAAAATCGGCCACATTTCTCACTGTGAATATGCCAAATGCAGTCTTGTACAAATTCCCATGACTAACAAAGTGAGGTACTAAGACAAGGCGTGACATTGCATGAGATGACAGATAGAAACAGAGACCATGTGATATACAAATATCCAGCTGATGTCCTTATTGCCTTCACATGTGAAACATTGAACACAAGAATAGAATATTTTGTAGCATGGATGCATTTCATTCTCTACCGAATGGGAATTCAACTTTCTCTCTCTAGGGAAGTGAGAGAAACCACATTTTCATGCAATATTTTAGGGTAGAGAGGCAAAGAAAGAGGTAGAAAATGGGTAACCACAAGAATAGAGGGAGGAGTCAACTCAATCAGGGTGGAATGATGGAAGACAGGAAGACCACTGTCCTATTCGCTTTCTCAATCTTTATTATTCAAATAGAACCAGAAAACTGAGCCATCAAACGACATTTACATCCTTCACAGACAACCATATCCATCACTCTCAACAAAAAAACTCACCACCACCCTACTACAAAACAAAGAAAAATTCACAGAAACCCACAGACAAGAAAACCCATTAAAGAACTTCACCAAAAAGCTCTCTCTCTCTCTCTCTCTCCCAAAAAAAGCTCTTTTAAAACCAAACTCCCTCTAAGCAAACCTGTGATCAGAAAAGAAGTCAAAGAAAGGTTGCTCTGTACAGTCCTCCACATTTCCCTCTAAATTCACCCCAGAGAATGAAGCATAATTCCCAAAAACAATGGAAGAAGATGGAGATGAAGAAGAAGTTGAAGAAGAAGAGGAAGGAGAAGAAGAGAGATTGGTATGGGGAAGATTATATCTATCCTCAAGAATACCAGTAGGGTGCACAGGAAACAACTGCAAGGTCTCATGGTGACCCCAATTACCAGAAGGTCCCTCAGTCTCATGGCCTTTCTCCATATTATTCCCAACATTGAACCTTTTTGTAGTCCCACCTGGCACCATCACTCTTTGGAACTGAGGGTACATGCCTAACCCGCTTTGCGACACATAAAATGGGTTACAGACAACTGCACAAGAAGAGAGAGAAACATGAAAAAGTAGAGAGACAAAACATATCGGTCTTCGCCACCGTATACACTAAACACAAACAAACACAAAAAGAGAACAATTTCATTCATGCAAATTTAGAGATAGAAAACACGATGCCAACTAGGAAAAGGAAAACCAAAACCAAAACACAAAGGAATGAGGAAGAAATTGACAATAAGTCATGCAAATCTTGAACCTGAACATAACCAAAAGGTTGGGAGAGAGAGAGAGAGAGAGAGAGAAGAGGAAAACTAGAAAACCCAAAGGAAAGCCAGGTTCATTCCATTAAATATAGCTTTCAAAAAAAGAAGAAAATGTCAATAATTCATGGGAAAAAAAAAACTATGGATATAAAATATATGCACTAATAATAGATTGATAAATGTAATGGAGGTATCTGAAAGGACGGAAGTAATCTGCTCGTGCAAAATGGGAAACTCAAAAAGCCACATAAAATGTAAACAAGGGAGAGTGCAACCGACAATGATACAACAAAACCCAAAACCAGATAACCTAGAGAGAGAAAGAGAGAGAAAGTGGGAGAGAAAATGCAATGAACCATGAAATAGAGATAGAGATAAAAATTCTAGAGAGAGAGAGGACCGTTAGGGATGCGGTGGTTAGCACGGAGGAGGGAGTCCTGTCGCTGCTTTTGTCTCTGGCGGGCCTTATGATTTTGGAACCAGTAAAACACATTCTTGCCCTCAATGTGCCCATACACCCTCAACCTCCTGGTTATCTGCTGTATCTGTTCAGCAGTTGGGGTCCTAATCCCCTGCCTATAAAGCCCTTCCAGCACCTCTATCTGCTCTTTTGTTGGGTTCCAACGTGAGCTCACCGCCGCGGTACCCGGCGACGGCGGCCCGTTAGCCTCCGCCTCCGCCGAGATGGTGGGTGCAAGAGCGTCCATGTCAAAGCGAGAGAAATACGTTGCAGATGTGTAGAGAGAGAAAGGGTGTGGATGAGTAATACAATGAGAGATTATAGAGAGAAAGGTGTAGATGAGAGAGAGAGGAGGGGGGGGAATTAGCAGAGGAGGAGAGTGGAGGGGTGGGGGAAGGTGGGAGGGGTCTCTGAAAACATTGGGTTTAGGAAGAGGAGGAGGAGGAGGAGGTAATGATGTGAGGGGGGCGGCGATGGCGGCCAGGTGCATATTTGTATGTGGTGCGGTGAGGTGTTGGGCGTTGAGGTCAGGTTTTAAGGTGGCGGAGGGACGTTGGGAATTGGAGTTGTGGCACGAGTGAGAGAGACAGACGAGAGGAAGATGAAACGGCGAGGAGAGAGAAAGTGTGTGTATGCATCACTCAACAAGAAGTGTGTTTACATTCAGAAGAGAGAGGAAAGAGAGATTGTATAAAAAAAAAAAAAGTGTTCAACATTTAGGGGAGAGAGAGAGAGAGAGAACTTCTAGGGTAAGGTCGGTAAAAAGCTCATATAGCCAATGCGAGAGTAGGTATTGAAATATTGAAAGCAACGATTTTGTATATAAAAAGCCAAAAGTTATTACCGTTTTTATTTCACCCCTACCAAAACTCTAAGCCTGCAAGGAAATACAACCCTCATACGATGTGGTGGGTCTTTTGCCGCAAGACATGGTGTCATGTACGTTCGGTACAGAGAGACAAAGAGAGGTGGCAACAAGAAAAGAAAATCAATATAAAAGTGAAAGCAAATTTAGGTAAACATGAAATTTTGTGAGCAGATACGCCACTAAACATAAAATTAAGAGAGAGAATATCATGTGAGTGAGACATGAAAATGTGTGGGAAGAAAGTGCACCATAAGAGACGCATGGAATTGTGTCTTATTGAAGGGAAAGAGAGAGATGTTGAAGTGAGTGAGAGAGAGAACATATAAAATATCGAACAAAAGTTTTAGAGAGAGAACATATATAATATCGAACAAAAGTTTTAGAGAGAGAAAGAGGGCGGGGTGATAATGTAATAACTTCGAGACTACAGGCCACACTTATAGTAGACGTCCCGACTCCGATGTTTGTCGGCCGTATCTTCTCTTACTGCGCCTTCGTCTTCGATTTGTCTCTTCTGGGTTAGTGTACAGTTGACCAAAATACTCCTTAAAAACTATTTAATATCCGTTATACTTCTGATTGCATTGATTAACGAAACGGAAAAGTTTATATTGCGCCGAAGAGCTACTATCAAATTAGCGCCTACCTTAAAATTTTTACAAGAGATTGTTTTGATATTTAAATATCTTCAAGTTAATCGACATCAAGATGCATGGACATAAGGAAAAAAAAATAGATTTTATGTTTTGAAAATAATGTATAATGTATTTTTGGACTGTTAATTTTCAAGATTTTCAAGTTTTCATAGATATGTCGATCTATATTATTTTTGAAACTTTAAACTTTATAAATAAAGATGAAAACATATTTTAAGGCTATCACAAAGATGTCCAAAGTTGAAACCACATGTCTCGATACTATTTGAAGGGAGGCTCTAATTTGATCGTTTAGAGCCTAGGTTCTATACAAACATCACCCTTAACGAAAACGTTCAATTTGTTGCGGTAATTAAAAAAGAAGCCTCTACGCAACGCTTATGGGCAAAAATGAACAGTATTTTTGCCCATAGGCTCAACGTGATCCAATTTTTTGGACAACATGGATTAAAAGACCACAATGGACTAACTATGTCCGTTGCGGTACCGCAACAGACATAGCATGTCCGTGGACGTATTTTTTCACGTACAAAAACATGAGAAACCACCACGACTCTCATAGGTCCGTGGTAGTTTTTAAGGCAAACCCACAATGAACATAGCATGTCTGTGGCATAAGAAATACTATTCACTTTCGCTTATAAGCGTTTTTAAGACTTTTCCATAAAAAAAACCTAGGGGTGGCAAGGGCTGCCCCGATCAATGTAGCTCTAAAAAACTAGGGCTTGGGCTACATAATATGGCTTGAAGGTGAGGTAATTACAGTCCAAGGGGTACAGGTTAGGCTTGGGCCACAGTCGGCTTAGAACTCTTTTTTTTTTTTCTTTTTTTTTTTCTGTATTTTCTCTTTTATTTTATTTTCTGTATTTTCTCTTTTATTTTATTTTGACCTACATGGCGTAGCCTAGCCCAGCCTAAAAGGCCAATGTCGAGCCTGGGACATGGCCTCTTTGGTTATGGCCTACCCTATGGGGACCAAGGCCATGCTACAGAGATTATTGCCAGCTCTACGAAAATCTAAATCTTTTGACAAATTATATTACTAGAATAATTTTATAAAGGGTGTGGTTTGTATAGAGTTGTGGTTTGTATAGAGTTGAGGCTCTCAACAATCAAAGTAATGAGAAATGTGGTTTCAATACTGAAAATCTTTATGATAGCTTTAAAATATATTTTCATTTTTTATTATAAAATTTAAAATTTCAAAAATAGTGTAGATTGAGCAGATCTATGAAATTTTAAAAATCTTGAAAATTGGCGGTCCAAAAATGCATTGCAAGATGCACTATTTCTAAAACTTGAAATCTATTTTTTTCCTCGTGTCGATGCATCTTGATGTCGAGATGATCAATTTGAGAATATTTGAACATCAAAACAACTTCTTCTAATAAAATTTTTGAGGTGGTCTCTAGTTTGATTGTTTGGAGCCTCGGCTCTATATAAACGCTTTCCTTTTAGAAATCAGCGAGCCGACTCAATTGGTCTACGATCCGGGTCTAAAACCCGTGTTTACGCCAATAATTGCCACCGACCTACCGGTGACAAAAATACTACTATAGTGCTGTTTCAATTTGGAATTGAGATGCGCCTAGTAATGGTGCTTCACCACAAGAATGGGGATTTGTATGGAGATTTTTTTTCGTAATAGCTTATTTTCGTAATAGCTGGAGGTACTCAATTCCCTAAAAAAAGGTTTGTCATTTTTCAGAATTAGCACGAGAAGAAAGATAGTTAAACCACCCAAAGTATCACATGTTCGCTGCCCTTTTTGTCACTAAAGGGTGCTATTCCCTTTGTGCCACACAAATGCTGTTAAGAAAAGGAGCCTAACAATCCACCCCCACATTAACTACATCTGTCCTATACTGGGTCCCATAAACCCCACCTTTGGCCCTAGGCTTATGCTTCTTTGGTCAAAGCTTCCTACTTAGGCCCCGCACTCAGTGCTACCACAAGGTCTTCTACTCATGTAGACGTAGTTACGTCCTTTGCTTCCACTACGTGCTCACATGAGCTCGCAGTGTGCTACTAGCACTACGACCCATGCCACCTCATGAGACCCTCAACAGGAAGGTGTAGACGCCCTTTTCTCGGCTAAAGGGGTTCCTAAGCGTCCAGACCCTAAAACATAAGGATCTAAAGTACTAAACACCTTGCCTTAGCTATACAACCCTAAAATTCAGGTCTAAACTAGTAAAAAACCTTAATTTAGTCATCCCAAATTCTCTAGAGCCTAACAAACATAGAAAACTACCATGTATGCCAGTCAGACATCCAAAACACTCGAAAGCAACTCTTTATAGTACAAACATCATAACTTCTCCATGTCTCATCCAAATTGAGCTAGAGTTGACTTAAACTCCTGCATAAGATTTAGGACCATTTAATTTTGATACACAAATTAAAATTTTTAGCCATCATAAATTCCATTCTAGTCTCATCTGTGATGTGCATTGTGTCACATACAATACTTTTACGACTTGTATTGCATCCTTTTGACAAATTTTCCTAGTAGGGATTGTCTAGAAAGATACGATTTATCTTTTGTAGATGGAAGTGACAATCATTCTTGTTCTTTAAATTTTAAAATGGGTGGTTGTAAGAGTGTTATTGAATAGACACAGTTTCAAAAAAATGTTCTCCGACTTTGCGACTTACCTGAAACCATCCAATTTGACATCTAATGAGTGTGAATGATGGTAACCTCTATATATAAAAAATAAATGGTATCTTTGTAGACAATCTCTTACTAGTAAGCCTTATGCACACATGCATTACTTGTTATTTGAACCGCGTCTAGGGCTTGAAACCCCCCGAAATGCCTAAAACAAAATCCCTATTAAACCTAAGGCCTCCACGACCTGGAACACTTTTTGGGTCACATGTGACACAATCACTGCAAGATGGATTGAATTGTTCCACAATCACAGCAACCCGGATTGAAATGTTACTTGGTGGAGGGTAGTTATAGTCCCTATGGTCTATAAAACCCATTGTTTGTTTTGGATTTATGTGGCCTTTCCGGGCCATGATATCCATGTACTCTTATCCATATAATGGTTTTTTGGCTCCAGCATGAGACCTGAAAGGAAACCAAATGGGACGGAGTTTTGGCTCATATGATGCACGTGACTCATAGGTTTTGGGTGGTCTAAGATTCTGAAGAGATTCGAAATCATAAAAACCCTTGGCCTCGAGCATGGGGGCTTCTACCCATGTTACCAAAATATAATTTTGGGTAATCCCTCAGCCAAAGTAGAAGTATTTGCCCATTGTTTTTTTTTCAGGATGCTAATTCACTCTCACATGGGGAGGTAGCCTGTGAGGTAAAAGGCAAAAGCCTCGACATTGCCACTCCATAGCATGTGCATATTATAGCTGTATAGATGAAAAACCACCTTTCCAGGATACACCCAGTAGAGGACATCCATGGGTGCCAAATAAAGGACCCTGCATCGTTATGTGATGCATCTATAATCCAATAGAATCTGAATTCCACAACCTTATTTGACTATGATGAACCAATCATAAGCTTAAGATTATGGGTTATTGAGTTGATTTGAGATTGTGATCGTGAATTTCGGGTAAGTCGAGCAGAGCTCCAGTGATCTAGGTGTCGTTGAGTCAAATTGGAATTGTTCGGTCTGAATCGTGTACTCACCTACTCTGAATTAGTGCAAATCAGTGAACCCAAAGTCAGTCCCCTTTTTTATGATATTTGAC